GGGGGGAGGGGTTTGTGCGGGGAGAAGGGTGCAACAAAGAATGAATGGAATCCCAAAATCTCTGTAGATGTTCATGGAAATGAAAAATAAACAACCTAAATTAAAAAAAAATACACAAATTCAAATGCAAACATTTGATTTTATTATGTTTTTAATTAGGAATTAAGTTTGAAGTATTCTTTTTTGCTGACTTTAGAAAACCTGTAATGGTTTGTCAAGGGCCATACATAATGAGCAGTGTAGTTTATTAGGTGTCATCAAGTCAACAACCACCACCTGATCAACAGAATTGAGAAGCCTGCCCTATCCTGCACAATCCTATTTCTCATCCATGTTCCAGCCCACTGTTAAGGTCACTGGGTTAATCAATCTCATTGAAGGTCTTTCTCTTTCACTGACCAGCATCATGTCTTTTGCCAAGCTCTGGTCCCTCCTGACATATGCCAAGTACTTGAGACAAAATTTCACCATCCTTGCATGTAAGGAGGCACTTCCTCCAACAGACTTGGGTATATGTGTTTTTTTTCTCCCTGGCAATCTACGGGACATCCAGTAATCTCCACCAACATCACAATTCAAAAGTATTAATTCGCCTTCAATCTTCCTTAGTCACTGTCCAACTTTCAGATGCATAGGAAGTAACGAAAAATATCATGGTTTGCACCTTAGTCTTTAAATGGACATCCTTGCACTTTTGTGAGATCATTGACAATTTCCCAAATACAACACATTTGATTTCTTGACTGCTGTTACCATGGGTGTTTGTGGACCCAAGGAAATATATGTCAAACTTTTCTCTATCCATCATAATGGTGCCTAATGGTGAGTGGCATGGACTTTTCTTTATGACGATTACTTGGTTTATGTGTATGTTTCACATGAACACAAGAGTTCCTGAATTCTCTCAAAGTTATCTGTAATCTACTGTGATCCACATAGGGTAATACCTTTGCACAATTAAAAGAAAAAGAAAAGAAAAAAAGATAAGTAAATCTTTCTAGTACTCTTGCCTATTAGCCAAGATCTGTATGACATGAGCAGTGACATCGCTCGTTCCACAGCCTTTTCTTAATCCAGACTGAACTTCAGTAAGTTCTTTGTCGATGTTACAGCTCCAGCTGTTTTAGAATAATCTTCAGCAAAACTTTTTCTTGAATATTAGATTGGCATTATTCAGTAGTTTCCACATTGTTGGCTCATGTATTTGTTAAATGCAAACAAATGTGATCTCTTCCAGTCGGTTACTCAGGCAGATGCCTAATTTCTTAACACAGACTAGTGAGCAAGTCAAGGGTTACATCTGTTTCTTTATATACCTCAATTGGTAACCCATCCAATCCTGGGACCTTATTATTTACCAATGCTTTTAGGACAGCTTAAGCTTCTTCTTTCAATACCAGTCACTCTTGATCATGTTATTTCTTGAAATGGTTTAGAGTTACCTTTTTGATAAAGTGACAATGTTTATGTTTCATCTTTTATAGATGGTTTCTGCATCATCCAACATGTTGCCCATAGAATCCTTCAGTAGCACAACTAAAGACATTGTTCTTCCGTTTTTCAGCTTGAGAAAGAGCGATTTTCCCTTTCCCTTTTGGTTTTCTAACTCCTGCTCTTTGTATATTGCATTATACTATCTTCTCATGCTGCCCTTGAAACTCTCCTGCTTAGCTCTCTTGAGCATTTCTTTCCTTTATTTCTCTATATTGTAGTGCAAGTTTTGGAGTCTTTTTTGATATGTATTTTGGCTGGTTCTTTCTTCTGTTTTTGCCTTCTTCCTGGATGTCTAACTACAACTCACCTGGTCTTTGGGCATTAGTGCTTAAAGCATCACATCTATTCTCAAGTTAAGTTTTCAAACTCACATGGAATAATCTCAAGGTCATATTTTGGTTCTCCACAACTTTTCATTGTCTGCAGTTCTAATTTTGAACTTGTATAAATAACTGATGGTCTGTTCTAGTAAGTGCCTGACCCTGTTTCGACTGGTTATACTTCACTTCTCTACCATCTTTTTCCTACAAATGTAGTCAATCTGATTCCAGTACAGTCCACCAAGGCGAGGCCAGTATGTACAATTGTCATTTATGTATTCTAAAAAGAAAAGTATTTGCAATGAATAAATCATGACAGTACAAAATTCCACCATGGGATCTCTAGCCTCATTTCTGTAATGAAGGCCCTATTTTCTGACTTCCAGTCCTTTGTTTCAACTTCTGCATTCCAGTCACCAGTTATTACTGACACATCTTTAATGCACTTTATAAAGCTCAGACTGCAAAAGTCTGTAGAAATCCTCAATTTCTTCATACTTGGTTTTGGTGGTTGGTGTGTATATTTGAATAATGCTCTTTAAAAGGTCCTGTATGAATATGGATAATACTCTTATCATTCAGTTTTGTACTTCAAGATAGCTCTCAATATGTTCTTTTTGACAATGAAATGTGACACCATTCCTCTTCGATTTGTCATTACTAGCATAGAACACAGGACTGATTTAATATGGCCAATACTAGTCCATCTCAAATCAGTAATTGCCTAGGATGTTAATCTTTATTGCATTGTATTTGATATCTTACAACTTCCAATTTTCCTAGATCTATATTTTCCTGAATCCAATTATCAATGAGTGTTTGGAGCTGTTTCTCCTTATTTTGAGTGTAGGCACATCAGTGAATGCAAATGAAGGTCCTTCATTGGGTGGAAGTTTTTAGACAGACTCTTCAATGCGGCAGCTTTTCAAGAAGGGTTTTTGAGGGCCTACGATTTCACAAGTGCCTGGCCCATTATGCTTTTCAAGTCTGTAAGCTCAGCTGAAACCACTAAAGTAGTTGCATTAAAAAAAAAAAGGAAGGCACTTTCTCCCTCAAGGTGCAGTGACATTAGAAAATACTTATTACTCTTTAGGGAGATGTGTACAAAATAATATATGAATTGGTCTTTTGAACATAAAAATGTGCATTTATTCATGCAGCAGAAAGAACAGAAAATATTCCAAGTTTCCTCCTGCTTCCTTTTCTACTGAAATGTGAAGGTTTCACTGACTTGCTTCAATTCTAAGTCATCCTAATCCATCCAAAAGTACAACGGGCTGTGTTAGGAATTGAGTCAGCTTTAACAGAACCAGGTTCACATGGTTGCAGGTGATGAGGATGATGTGGGAGTTTATTAAGCAGGATCATCAGTTACACAAAACTAGAAATGGTAGGTAATGTTTTCTGAAATAGAACAAACCAGTATTTTATTTTAAAAAGTTTATTCTGTAGATTTAGAAATTTGAGATTTTTAATAATGACAAAAGAAATTCAGTCACACCTAATGATTAACAGAAAGTAGTGGCATATTATCTAAACAGAAATTGTGCTGATGTGCCATAATAAATTGTCTATTAGTAAAAAAATACACTTTAGGGCACAGCATTGTATCACAAATTACAGTAGGGATACTTTGAAAGAATTAATCAAACTAGAGAATTCTGAGTAACTGTTATCTTTTAAATGCAGCACTTAAAAATGTAACAACTCTGTGCATTCTTTTTCTTAAAAAAATGACCTTGTGTATCATAGAAATGCTGCTTTATTGCTGCAGAGATCAAAGTTCAAGGCTCAAGAGGTACAGGAGAGAATACAAAGGTAGCTTTAAGAAACTTGGTTGTTTATGTATAAAAAGGGTACAGTTTATAAAAGTTAATTTACAAACCAAGAACAAAAGTGGTATGCACGCATTATGTACAAGCATCCTTAAAACATTGAAATTTTCAAATGCATAGCCAAAAGAACAGAAAACAGTCACTAACTCTTGTCCACTACACCTCAAAAAAATAAACAAAACCAAAAGACAAACATCTCCCAAATCACACCATTATTCTCTTCTGGGTGATTGAGTATGCATTTCTGAAACCATTAAATTCACAATTACTTACTAATTCAAAGCTTTTTCATGATACAATATTTAGATGTGCATAAAAGCCATAAAAACTTAGTAATACTCAGAATGATCTAAGAATTAAAAACATGAGGGTAAGGCATTCCTGCTGGTTAGTATGTCTGTGGTGGCATGTTAGTTCACAGATCCAGAGGCCCAGGAGCCAGTCTTGCATGCTTTGGTGTCCTTCCCTAAGAAAAATGTGTTTGCACAGACAGTAGTTAACTGTCTTCACTTGACACGAAAAAGATAAAATTTCCTTGCTGTATATTTTTGTTAAATTTACTAAACTGGTATATATTCCAGGTTGGTTTTTAAAATGTGTGCACACTATTTCATGCATAATAAAATGTATGCCAGGCCAGAGACCTCATAAAGTGGACTGGCTGGTAATTTAACGGAAATCATAGGTGATGTTAGCAGTAACAATAAAAAAGTACAAAATCATTACAAAGCAAAGCGCATTTCAAACTCCAGCAAATTATCAATAGCTCTTCAATCACAAACATGCAGTTTGGAGCATGTTTTCGGTCCACACAGTTCAGGGGCATGCTCACTAACCTTTATCAGTTTGAATAAAATACTTAACACTAGGATACGGCAGGGTCAATTCTAAGAAAAGTGTAATACTTGACAGAGTGGTTCCATTTAGATTTAGTAACTGTAACCCAACTTCATATCTTTTAATCAAGTTTATATATTTTAAGAATTAAAAATGGTCAATCAGGACAGAAACACAGTTTGCTCCCACAAGATAATTTGGATCTCCAGGAAGACACTTGTTTTGCCAAGTTTTAGGATCACCTATGAGAGAAAAAGAAGATGATGTCATTTTCAGTTGGCTCAGCTACTATCTATAAACTCTGTAATCATAGGTCACACACATTTCAACATACTGTCTTCTATTTCCCCCAGCGTATTATACTTAAATCAAACTTCTTATTTCAATGCATTCTTTGACATGTCATGATTTAAATGTTCTTTCAGATTTTATTTAGTTCATTTTATTGTCAAGTTCCTTAGTTGAACATGAAAGACACATGTTTTGCTCAAGTACAAGTCAACAAATAAAAACCTCAATTGTTCTGCAGGAAAGGAGCTGTGCTGCCAACCCAAAGGCAAATGGTTCGAATCTACCAGTTCTTCTGTAGAAAGATGAGCAATTTCCTTCCATGTGATTTATATAAATCAATAGAGGGTCAGCTATGGTTTGGTTTCAACTCGATGGCACATTAACAGTTCTGCAGAGGATCCTGCAGAAGATGCTCCTCCATGTAAGGATAAAAAAAAAGAAAAGAAAAAAGAGGAGTAAGCCTGAGCTAGTGTTCCCAGAGCTGGCTGCACAAGGTTCATGCAGAATCTAGAGCTCCCCAGCGCTGGCTGCATATGGTCTACATGGGAGCTGCTGGTCTACATGTGCAGAAGGCTTGGGCTCTATTTAGATTTGCAGCTACAGTTAGGAATCCCTGGGAACCCAGAACTACAGCTGTAACTATTGAGCTAGATGCGACTACTGACTAAGCCCATGTGTAACAACAGTTGAACTGTTACGCACGGTTTTCTTGGCTTCTATATTTACAGAAGTAGGCTGCCAGGTTTTTCTTCTGCAGCACTACTGGGACCAATGATCCACTGCTTCTGGTTAAAAGTAGGGTGCAAACTAACTATAACAAGCAGAGACTGGGAAGCTCGGGAGTAGCCAACGCATGTCAGAAAGCTGGGAGGAGTGCACTTCTCTGAGGCATGGACTCAAAGCTGCTGAGTTCTGCCTCTCACAGCACTAGCTATCTGTCAGCCAGGAGTCAGTTTGCCTTGATGAACAACATCTAGACATACTTTCTGTTGTCAGATACCATGTCAAGTGGACAACATGCACCTTATAAATGATATGACATCCTGTAGAACAGAACCATTCAGCCCCAGTGGACACAGAGCCAAGGTTGAGAATCCCTTTTAGTGTGGTGGTAGCCATGTGATCTCTGGAGCCTGCATTTCATGGTGGGCTCAGCACTGTAAATGTGATCTCATTTTACATATAGGCTTAGACATGACACTAACAAGTTTTTTTAGATAAGAGCAAGCTATGTCACAAAAAACAAACAAAAACCCTAAAACCCACCACCAACACCCCCACAAAACAAAAACCCCTCATCCATCAATCCATTAGGTCCACGTTTTCTCAAACATACTCATTTTTATTCTGATTAAGTTAATGGTTATTAAAAAAATCTATACAGCCTTAAAAAATCATTTATTAAAGAAGTATCTTAAGAGCCCCGTACAAATACCTTTTCATCAAACAAAAATGTACTCATTCAAACTGGCTTAGAGGATGATTTGCTCTCACACTACAACCTGACTTTGAGAACCCTCTGCAAGCACAGGGGGAATAATTCTAACTAGATCAAACCAGGCCAATGAAAGGTTCCAAATTCTTGGAGCCTTGGTGGCAAGAAGCTTTGCTGCAATCCTGAGAAGGATGGGCAATCTCCTCCTGTGTAACTGTTGTTGTTGTTATTAAACCCACTGAAGGGTCAGCTATGACTCAGTTTTGATTCGATGGGATGCAATAAACAACAGTGTGGTAATATGAATTTATTTCCTTCTGGAAAGTGGGGTACTTATTAATATGAGAATATGCATGTTTATGTGTATCCCCTGGGGTAGCATGTGTTATAATCAAGACACTATAAAAAACTTGGAATTAATACTTTAAAGTCTTGTATTTCTTTACCAGCTTCTCTCAAAGTAAACTCTACCAATAACATAAACGTTCCAAGTGGTAACTGACTCAAGTCACCTAAGGGAGGAAGAGTATGAAGAGAACAGAATCTTTGAAAAGAATGATTTTACAACCAAAAAGTAACTTAAAAAATAGTATATGATAGAAATTATTTAGAGTTTTACATTGAAAAACCATGGCCGAGTATGATCACAGTGGGAGATTTTTTTGCTTTTTCTTTTCTCTGGTGTTTATTCCTTATACAGGAAGAATTAAAGATTTAATAATAAATACCCAAAGTACCATAAAGGAATATTACTTTAGTAAAAAGAATGGATGCCTCTGTGTTGAAGGCAGTATCAATTCTTCCAGTGCATTCAGTACAAATTATTTTGTAAATACTAACATTTGGCCAAATTATCCATTTTAAAAGGTAGCAATTTCCATATGGATTTAAAGTATATAAGATGAATAATGTGAAAACACTGGTGATGCCTACAAGGCCACAAGGACAGGAGAGATCTGCTAACCACCAACAGCACCAGAAGCCCATGCCTTAATCAATGACAGTACCCAAAGCTCCACAGGACAGAGTGAAGAGACAGCATACCCGATGAGGAGTTAGATGATTTTAGAGCAAAAGACCAACCGTCAGGGGTCATGGACGCACAGTGTGGCAGGCGCAGCTCCACCGGCTTCAGGAACTTGAGGCCATGGGGCCCACACATCACTAGAGGGCTAAGCAGTGTCTCACCTGGAATCAGAGAAAAGAATGCAGGTGAGATGGGCAGTGCCTCTGCATCCAAGCTCTCCTTCTCTGTTCTGGTTACAGGATTTAGAGTCTAACATGTTTGTTTCTTATGGTAGCACTGTCTTTAATAAAAATGTAACACAAGCCACATGTATAATTTTAAACTTTTCAGTATTCATATTAAAAAGTTAAGGAAAAGTATGGATACTATTTAAGACAATATACTCAAAACATTATTTCAACTTGTATTTATTACAGGAAGAATTAACTTTATTGCTCTTTGAAGATGCTATATTTTTTACATACTGAAAATTGTTGTCAACAAGTCTGTTATTGTTATTTTTCTAACATCATGTGCTCACCTTGCATCTTTATGTCACATTTGGTAACTGTGGCAATAGTTAATATTTTGCACACTTACTAGATTATAATGTAAATAAAATTTTTACATGCCTCAGGAAACAAATCGTAACTATTGGTCTTGAATTGATCTTGCAATGTCTCTGAGCTATGCCTATTAAATTTCTGAATTGTGAGTTTTATATTTTAGCATAGTTTCCTTTAAAATATTCACATTTCAAGTTCTACAGTCATATGTTCAAGAATGTATTTAATAAATGTAACTTCTATATTCCATTTTAATGGTTCCTTTGCTAGAGATTTTCATTTATAACTTAATGCACAGCCAATATAATATAGTCCACATTATTTGTTTTCAGGAAGCTCTGGTGGCCTAGTGTTAAGAAGCTGTGCTACAATCTCAAAGGCATGGGGTTCGAATCCACCAGCTGCTTCACTGGAGAAGGATGGGCAATCCTCTAGTGGGACTTAGTGCTGCTGAAAACCCACTGGAGGGTCAGCTATGGATTGGTTCTGACTCAGTGGTACACAACGATGTTTATGTTTAGGGAGCCCTGGTGGCCTACTGGATAAAGAGTTAGGCTGCCAACCCAAAGGCATATACCAGAATATACCAGCTGCTCCTTTCAATTTACAGCCTCTGAAAACCTGTTAGAAGGTCAGCTCTAAGGTGGTTCCAACTAAGGGGCGATGAATGGTTACTGGTTTATAATACAAAATCCCAAAATAAAATATATAGAAATATTATTAATATTCCACAACCATTAAGTGAGTCAATACATTTAACACGTTGCCCCACACTTTTAAACTGACGACCATGCTCAGAAACACATTATTTTTTTTTCATTTGCGGCAACGTGTTAATCAAGTAAGAGCTGCTAAAAGACTTTTAAAAATAAATTCTAACACGGTTGTTCAGGCTGCTTTGAAGGACATGGCAAAAAATAAGGCTCCAGGAATAGATGGTATACCAATTGACATATTTTAGTTAACAGATGCTGCCCTGGACGTGCTCACCAAGTTGTGCCAAGAAATCTGGAGAACGACCACTTGGCCAACTGACTGGAAGAGATCG